CTTGCTTACGAAATGAATTTTAGGTGCAAGGAACTTGAGAACAAGGCTAGAGAACGCGATGAGGCGAAAGAGGAGTTGAAGAAAACTACCGAGAAACTTAGCTCTCTGCAAAAGGAGACCAAGGAGCTAAAGCGCGTCGTGGAGAACTGCCATAAAAACCAGAGGTACGGTTTTGCGGATAAGTAAAATCTCATCTCAGGCATGAATATTTAATGCAGTGAAAGGCTTACTTGTTCTAAGGTGCAGCCTAGCTCAAACGACGTGGCAAGTCATACGATATAAATCTGTGGCTCTGCGGCTACAGTGTAATTGTGATCTTCAAGTACTTTACCTTTCTTGCCATACTTTACCTTAAGTAAAATGTAATCGCATACGTTTTAGTACACACTGATTGCATGTACGAAACGAACATTTGTTTTATAGTGGTAACATGTAAACAAACGACCAATCAGAATTCAGTAGTAAGTGGATTCTTCCAAGGAGTACACGCAAGTGGGTCAATCCGCTATAGATATCGATAACCTATTTACGGTCATGTTGTTGCTTTCGGAAAGGTTGTGCTACGTTTCGAGCGTAATCTGCAGGGATGTTTCTGGAATTATCCCGCGGTTTGCTAATGATCCGTCTTTTTTGTTCTACCTCTAAGTCTCGCTGCAAAGTTATGAGGTCGGCACCTACATCAAAGTTACGTTTAATAGCAGTTTATGTAAATTTGATCAAAATTGGTATAATGGCATGCAAACGAATCAGTTTTTTAGGTACTGTTAGCACGTGATTAGCTTCTTAGTATAACTGCAGAATCACCTTTAGATAGCTTGCACAACTCGATTCAGTGCGATCAGTCAACGAGCTGTACTAGAGTCAGTGATATAGAAAATACTCCTTAGGCCAGCTGAGATTTACTCCTGTTCAGGAATTTAAGTAGCATGATCCTCGGGGACATGTTCTAATTCGGTTAATAACAATTTTGTGGGCAGTAATGCTGGGAGTTAGTAAACTAGTGTGAACGTTACAGTACCGAGTACAAACGTACCATGCGGCATGAATATTCTATTATTTACTAAAAATTCACTTGAGCAACGAATTAACCCCTATGCATCAGTGAAACCAGCTGAAAAATGGGCAGCTGGCCACACATGCGAACAAGAAAGACACGTGGTGCCTCGGTGCTGTTCTGTCAAAGCTATAAGACTCGCGATTATGCTTTTTGATGCGTGAGTTTGGCTGTTAAGTTGTCTTGATTCACCCGATACTTGGATGAAGCCCAACATACGGTATAAACGCAACTTTGTCATTTATAATTAAATATTGACAACTGTGTAACAAAGGATTCACAACACCATCCACTGCCTTGCTCTAAAGCCACTGAATCAGAAACTTGGTCTTACAAGTATGTAGTAGAACCACAATGAAATCTTAAATTTATAATTATTCTACAATTTATTTACTTCATGAAAATCAAAAATTGTATAAAACCGTTTAACGGTTTAGCACAACTATATAAATTGGTCAATCGCTGACCAGTACTGACGCTTCGGCTACTGTCTCACGAGCCTTCTTCAATGTTGTCAAGGTTGACTTTTGCAACTATTTGTGTGGTCCGCAGCTATTGTGGCGCCTGGAACTGAAAGGGTGCTTTTGACCCTTGTTGGTGTCTGCGTAGGTTTTAGGTCACGGCTTTTGGAAGGCTTGTCCAATCCGTGCAGAGTTCGTATCATTTTTCCTGGATGACGGGCGCTTTCACAGGATTAAATGATTGAGGCTTCTTTGATTCATCTGCTCAGCCGGGTTCTCTCTTTGACGACGCACTCGCAGTCTAACCACTGAGGACGTGGCGGTTCCCTGCTGCGTCCTGCACGATCCTCAAGGCATTTTCACGTTGTCCTTTGACCTTGTTAGGACAGATCATTTGTTTCCTTCCTGGATGCTTTGTTATTGCATGTCGTTTGCCTTCGTCTGCGGTCATCCGACTTCTCCAGTGTGATAGGTTGTCTTTTGTTCTTTGGGTGACAGTACTTCTGGTTTCTCCTATACTGTATTTCCCGCAGTCGAAGGCCAGTTTGTAAATCCAACCTAAGGAGTTATATATAGCATTGTTATAGTACTTTTTACTAGTAATCTTTGTAATTTTTCACTAAAATATGTATGATACCGTAGAATAAAGTACTTTAAATTATTCAAAATGTTAATTCTTGCATTATAGGTAGTAGATTTAAATTAACTAACTCTGCAATTTATGGTACTATTAACGAACTTAACCGGATAAATATCTTCATCACACAAGGTTGTCTTAATACGTTTAGCGTCTGCCTTGTGAAATGCATTATTAAAACGTTTAAGATCTCTGTTTATTGGAGCTATAATTACAGACATTTTATTGTTTAATGGATTTTGTGAGTTAAAATTAAGATTTTCATTAGTGCTAGTAAGTGTGCGACAAACCTTTGCCTTATAGCAACTACTAAAGTTTAATATTAAAACGTCGAGGAAGGGTAAACTTCGGTTATTTCTTTTTCAACGGTTAGCTCTACATATTGAAGGAAGAGGCTGTTGAGAATTTTTAGCACTTTATTTTCATTTCCACTGAGATAGATGGCAAAAATATTATCAACGTGTATTTTAAAATCTTGGAAAACAAGTCATAGATGGTGCTCCGGGCCACAATTTCGAAATATTCCATCAAAATGCGGTAAACTTCGTTGCCGTTGGACTCCTCTTTGATTTATTCGAAGAACTTTCCATCGAAGAAGAGCGCTCGTTTCGACCATGAATCTTTTCCGTTTCTTGCAAAACTGGAGTTTTTCGTGTACGATGGCTTTTCCCAGTAACACGTCTGAATATTTAAGAGTTAAATTTTGAGACCTATACGAAGAAATAATTTACAGTAGAGACAGTGGATTTAAAGCAAAAATTAAGTTTACGTATTTTTGGTAAGCAGTAAAAATACGGCGCCGATTGATTAACCAAATTTAAGAGGTGTGTCGATGAAAAGGAAAAATTTTGGATCTAGGTGGTCATGTTAGACGGTAGCCTGAAGGAGCGCTCAGAATTTGTGGATGAGGAAGGAGGTTGGATCAACATCTAGGCGGAGACAAGAGTTCTTGAGCACTTCATGGCATTTCTTGATATATTCTAACTTATCCGTAATCATAGTGGCGTTGCCTATATGTGTCTTCTTTATTATAACGTTGTTATTTCATCGCTTTAAACTCAATAACAGTTAATTTAGGTTTATGTGGTTTAATTAGAGTTATAGTAGATTTAATGTTTTCTGTTAGGGTTTCATTATCTCATCATTAACTTTACTGGGGACTTGAATTTTTATGTTTGGTACAGTTTTAGTTGGGTAGAAAGTTTCGTTGATAACGCTAAAGTTTAAGCCTCTATTTGGTCTTTACCTTTGTTTATAACAGGTTTATTGGCACTGTCAGTACGTTTTATTTGTCGTTCTCATCCCTTTCATAATTTACACTCTTCCTCATCTGCAACCTAAGGCCTGCCTAAATCCATTGCTGCCTGCCAGCCTCTTCCAGACAGATGAATCAAGGCTTTTCTTCTCTACGGTCTGTCTGAGATTTCATTGGAAACGTAACGATAATCTTATTAAAGAGTTTTTGACTCTGATCATATTTTGTTGTTTTCTTTCCTAAAAAAGACAGTGAAGAGTCATTGGCGAAAGTAAACTTAAAGTCAAGACAAGCTTCTACCTTTACATATTTATCACTTTAATTATATATGTCCAGATAGAGCATCTTCTGTACAAACGTCATATGTTTATAACAGTGAGCGAGTAAAAACCACAGCGGGTAAATAAAGTATTCATTCTCTTTATGTGCAGAGTGATAGAGGATTTTTTAACAGTGAACCTTTCGATTCCATGTCGATTAGGCATCAGGTAACAAAAGGTATGGAGGATTCACAAAATGCCCTTGTGTTACATCGAGTCAGCCCAAAACGGTTCCTCATAGCCAGTATTTTACAGTTGTATGAAAAAGAGTTATAGAGTTTAACAGGCCTGTTATGACAAAGGTAGATTAACGTATTCATAGGTATTCGAGGTTTAATTCATACCGTAGACGAAGAACCTGAGCAAGTATCTGAAGGGTCGGTCGTAAGGCTGTTGAAGTACGTAAAGCATTGTACCACAACATGGAAAGCTGAAAGAGCTTCGGTTTCACTCCACAATGTTTCATCCTTCTTAGGAACGAAAGTGCGTTCGTAAATTTGACAATCGGTCCTCATACTTGAGGTGTCTGTTTAATCTTATGCCGAGATATCTCACTTCCTTGGCCTCCTACGGCTTCAGGTCTGCGTAAGTGATTGACTCACATTTCAGTAAGACACGTGGAGATTGTATTTGTCTTCTGCGGTTAAAAACACAATGCACAGATTTCAGGGCGCTGACTACATTGGTGGCAGATATGCATAATTTCAGCGTAGTATGTCATATGTCACCATCAACGGGAAAGGATCCTTTTCTGTACCAAGAATCTTATACAAGATTTTAGCAAAGTTTCTGAGAGTGGCTGCCCTCATTCAATTGTTATACATTGGGCTCAAAGGGACATTTTTGAGGTTCTGACAAAGTACTCATCCGTTAATCAATAATTACCAAATTAGTATTGCAGTTTCACATCTATCTACTCATTTCGAATAGGTGAAGCAGCAACAGCGAGAAGTTTTTCCAATTTTTCAGGTTCTCGGCAAATCACGGAACCTCAGGGAAGGATTATAAGGCGTGAAGATTCCCGGTGTTCGACGTACTTCAACAATCTGGTCATCGGCCGGCATCAGGATAGTTACCAATGTCACTGTAAAGAAGGCCGATGTTCTTTTCTCCTTGGCATTTTAATTATATGACCAAAGTATTTCTTCCATCGTTCGTTGTCTCTCGTCATGCGTGTAAAGTCTCATGTAAATGTTGTAGGACGGTTTGATCGTTTTGTAGGCCTCTGCATGTAGACACTCACCCGGCTATGATGGACCGCAGCTACGACGAGTTCTCGACAGAGCTGAGGAGCGTGCATATGCGCAAGTACGAACTGGAAAGGCAGGCTGATTTGCTGAATCATCAGCTGAAGTCATTAAAGCAAGTTAATCACCATACCGAAAAGCAGTTCAAAAACGCGCAGTTGGAACTTGACCTCTTGAGGCGAAGGTAGGCATTGACTGATCGACGTGATGCAAAATAACAGCTATATGATGAGCTAAGCAAAGATAAGCACAAATGAAGTATATATGTGAATGGCAAGGGAAAGTAAAGTTCGCCTATATTGTAAAGTTCCGTGTTGTCCGGTTAGGCAGTCAGTCGCATATCACGTTGCCAACCTCTAGACAGAGAAAAAAGTCGAGATTGCATTGATCATCACTATCTAAACTTTCAGTCAGAAGTTTTGTACATCCCTCATCAGCACTAAGCAAAGAATAATAAAGCATCCAAATAAAATGCAGGTGCGGATATAAAGGTGAAAGACAGTAAGAAATTCAGTGATTTAGTGCCAATATTTGAACTAAGAAGCCATCTAAATTAAAGGTATAATTTTTTATACATATATACATATATGCTCAGACTATTTACAGGGGCAGAGTTCGTTCCTATCTGTCACATGAGCTGAATGACTTCTGTCCCGGCCACTTCCGTAGGACCGACCTTCAGGTAGGTTACGTAGGCTAAATCTACTTCCCATCGTTTGTGTGGGTGCGTCAATCGATCGACCGGTCATAGTTGGCTGTTACGTAGATTATTTAGACATGGAGAATTGGAGATTTATGTAGCAAATCTGAAGAACGAAAACTACACCCTTTCAGAATCTGCTTTAAAGGCGGAAAAAGAGGTTTCGTCGCTGAAGGCTGAGTTGAAAGACGTTCGACAACAGTTTGAAAAGCTGAACCAACAAGACAGGTAAAATAATTTGCATTTATAAATATTGTTTAGTTCGTTGTACGCATGTATAATATTGTTGAGTACATTCAATGAGTGAGTGAGTCAGTCAAATTTACTTAAGTGAACCTTCAGGCAAATTATAAGCTGTCGAAACCTAGACATAACAAATAAACAAATACAACACAACAACAAAAGCATGTACTGCAAAACTGGCATGTAAACATGGCCTTCATGGCAAACCTGTCGGAAATGACTGCTTTGACTACATTCGTATGTACTGCTACTCGAACTGTACAAGTGGGATGAAAAAAACGTTTCAACTTCAGATTTGTTATGATTAAATCCATGGACATATGCAAAAATTGGAACGATAAAAGTGAAATTTTCATGGCGTCTGTGCAAGGATGATACAAATTTGTGAAGCGGTCCAAAATTTAATTTACAGTCAGCTTCAAACTCTGAATGTGCAGGGCTCGAATCCCCAGAAAAGAAAAAATTGCCTGAATGCTAATTTCCAGGAGTAAGGGATTCATACGATACTGTTTCAATTTACCAGTCGAAAAGAACAGCAGGATCAGCATGGAGTTCTGGTGTAGTGATATCAGAATGGCAGAACGGGTTAACCGTGTTACATACGCCATGTTCTCTGATGCGAGCTAATCATGTGGCTCCACTTCTTGCTTTTCCACCTGATAGTTGACCTGACTTTTAAATAATAAAATCAATATAAGGTGTTCCCTCCACGAAACAAAGTTTTAAATAAACTGTTGAGTCATTTTCATAAAAGTAAAGCAATCTAACCTACATTAATGTTTAAGTTAATTACGAGATCAGTTAATAGCATCGAAAAAATCTGGCTTTATTATTCTCTTCCTGTTCACACTGACGTAATTAGATGGTGTTATGTTTTCAGCATGAAACGTATTCAGCAATTGGAAGAAGAAAAAAGAAGAGTTGAGGACGAAGTGTGGGCGTTACGTGACCAACTGAATGAAGCGAATGAGAAAGCGAAGTGGTTCCAAGGAGAAGTTGGCTATTTTAAAAACCAGTTACAAGACTCCCATGTTCACAACGGTTGGCTAGAAAATGAACTCAAACACAGAGGCACCGAACTTGATGCAGAAAGATGCAACAAAACGTAAGCCTTGCCGCCAATATATTAGTAAACACCACAAGTCGATGATTTTTTTTTAATCACCGTTACTCAGTGATAGCCTCATTAGCATACGTGATTCCCATTAGTTTGCACCAACGTTTGCTATTTAGCTGCGATGCGGCAAAAACGCAAGAAACGTTATGGTCGGTGCAGAGCGAACTGCGGGCGGAACGTGACCGGGCAAAGTGGTACGAGGGCGAGGTGACGTATTTTCGAAACCTCGTGGCAGAAATGGAAAAGAAACGGAATGAAGAGAAAAGTCAGCTCACCTACTGGAATAATAAACAGAACAACTGCAGCAATTCAGAAGAATTTTGGTGAGGACGACATGAAAATGGAGATTATTCCTAAGTGTACTCATTTTTCAGTACAGAGTTGCGAGGAAACTTGGAACAGAAAACGAGGGAACTACAAAACGCTCTGAGTGCCAAGGAAGCCTGTGTCGAAGACTTGACCGACAAGGTGAAATGGTACGAAGGAGAAAGCGCTCACTTTCGCAGTGAGTTGACTGCCGTAGTGAAAAGGTAAATCCATTGAAGCAATTGCTCGCGTTGATTAAACGCTTTGTTTAAGATGTGAAATGCTGCAAGGTATTAAAGAGAAGTTAAGTAACACGCTACTCATCAACAAAGAAACATGCATGGACCGCAACAGGTGGAACGTGGCTATGTGGTAAGTCAGAAATAACACTATATAAAGAACAGAATATCCTTAAACATTCAGCTGTTACAAATTCTTCGCATTATTCAGTAGCAGAAGCGTCTCCCAGCTATGTGTCTGTAGTCACAAAGGAAGTCGAATGCAACCACATTCATTCAATTCGATTCCATTGTACATCCTAGTTCAAACAATCGTTCATTTACCAATTCAGCCACTCCCTCATTAATTCAATAACTCATTCCTTCACAGGAAATCGTTCATCCAGTCGCTCTAATAATTCGTAACCTCCTTCTATCCGGCAGATTCAGAAAGATCTTCCTCCAGTCGAACAAACGTTAATGCACAGATTCCGACGCCATACACGTATGACTTTGCCACTTGTCACTACGTTTATACCTAACCGCCAATCGTACAACCTGCCCTGCAAATCATTTCTGTGGTATCCTTAAAATCAAATGAATTAATTGATTTGACGTTGCCAATAACAACGAAGTTCTCTATAATTATTAACGCCATTAATGAACAACGCCACAGGTTTCTGAAACGTTAAAAAATGAACGAAATATTTTGAACTTGCTGTTTACACGCTAAAAAACAATTACTTATCTTTCCTCATTTTGCTAAAACGCACACTCACAATCCTAATCAACGATACCACTTAGATCCAGGGGCAAGCTCTTACTATTTTTTTTCAGTAGCAGACTTACTTGCCATTGACTCCGAGATACAATTTCTTATATCTTTTCCCTCGGCTTTCCAAAGGCACAAATACTAATCACTGTGTGCATTGTTCCTTGTTTCTGACTGTAACCGTTGAATGTCAATATTTATTACATTTGAATGATGGGGCCATTCTGGTGCCCTTACTTTCATAAAGTTAACAGAGAAGGCTCGCTTTCTACTTCAGTATCTTGAGACAGAAGTCCTTACTTTAAAAACAGATTCGCTAGCAACTGCCCCAGAAGCATAGAATGCAGTCTTCTGTTTCCTTCACATCCGGTGTTACTCACTTATCAACCTCCAAAGTAAGAAAGGCGAGTTATTTGACCAGAACTTGAACCCCCAAGCCTCTGGTGGTTCTGTTACACTACTTCGAATTACAAGTACAATATGGTGCCGCTGTGCGGTCATGCTAGAGCATACATGACCTATGGCCATGTTGTCTGATGGTTTCGTTGACAATAATGTGTAAACTGTAATTAAAGACAAATAAAAAATAAATTACCGTAACTGCATTTTCCTAAACGGAAGTACTAAGGAAGCAGTCAGCCGTATTTATCTCAATCTTCCGTGGAATGGGTTTTTGGCTTTTCATTGTCTGTTATTCCATAGTGAAGAATATTTTAGGAAGCCAGATCAAGAGTTGAACATGGTTCGCACTCAATTCACTATCAGATGTCCGAACGGCCATCAGCTGTACCTCACAGGTAGTTTCGTCAGCTGGGAATGTCTGATACAGATGAACCGTTGCCACGGAGATAATTGGAAGGTTTCGCTGGACGTGCCTCGAGGACATCATGAGTTCCGTTTCGTCGAGGTCGCAAATAGCCAATGGATCACCAGTGGCGACTATCAGTGCTGTAACAACGAGTTCGACGAACGAAACAACTGCATGGAGGTCAAATAGGCGACAATTTCTTGGCGCTACGTCAAATGACAAAATGGCATATCACGTTTTTACTCGTCCACATTGGTTCAGTTTAATTTTATCTGCACCTTTTGATCAGGTGACTCTTTAAAAGGCGAATAAAATGGACAGCATTTCGAATGATTTTTTGTGATTTTCATTTTCATGCACTGTTTCTCAAAAGTTGAAACTTGAATTAATGAATAATTCAAAATAATTACTTTAACTGAAACATTACTGTTAAAATTAAGTTATGAACCGACTATCGACTAGTAACTTGACAGTGACTATCGTGCACACAATTAAAAAACCAAAACTGTTTTCAGCCATGGAATTTAATGATAAAAAAGCTAGAGAATCTTTGCTTATAAATTATACAGAAAATTCTAACCAAAATATGGCCCAGTACATAAAAAAGAATTCTTCGTTAATTCAGCATCGTCAGGAGAAGACGGATCGGAAAAGTGGTTCGCCTCAGAGTTAATTGATGGTTATTGAGTTCCGCTGGACCACCAACGTCGATCCTGTTGTCCACTGGGATGATCCGATGGTCAAATTAGTTAGTCCGCGATGGAGGCACAAAGGGGATAAAAGGCAAGAGTGGAGATCGTCGACGTGTGTTCATGACTCACCACCCATGACAATAGCAGGTCGGATAATGGATGACTCAATATTAATGCTTCCGCTGCGGATAAATACAAGATCACATGACAATACGAAGTACGATTGAGTACAGACTAATGAAATGCATGATAGCAATGAGGACCTGTCATGAAACCCAAGTGTTGGATAGTCATATAGTGGTAATCAGCGGATAACAGAGATGATTATGTTTGTAATACAGTCTTCTCGACCAAGAGGAGATTTCAAC